TAACACTAGATTCAACCAGCAACCTATCTGGACCTTCCAGCTCTATTCTGTTTTAAAACCTCAGCTGTGCAGCCCTCAAAGGCTGTTGTGAGGCTGGCACGCTGTGCTGGCAGCTGCCACCATGCAGGCTGCATGCCTGCTTGTGAAGCCCCAGGAGTGGTGCTTGCTGTTTAACATTTCCTCTGACCGAACTCCCATGTCTCTGGGTCTTCCCCCAGCCTCCCTGCTGTTTAACAACACTGAACGAACGTGAGCTGCTTCTGGCAGTCACCACCCTCAGTCAACACCACAGCATTAAGTCAACATACCTTGTGCAGTGTCACCGTGGCTCCTGGCTGCAGTGCTTGGGCTGATAAGGCACTGCTGATAAAGAAAGAGGGCAGCACATGCTGTGCTGGCAGCAGAGTGCATCTCAGGTCAGTCAATCTGTTGGTGTGGGGCTCATTAAGCTCAACAAATTCCACTTTCAGCATAATATATGCACAATAGTTTTATTTTGTTTTTATATAAAAAAAAAAAATTCTAAAGACTGCAGAACTCTTGTATCCTAATTTCTTACACAAATGCTTCCAACACCCTCCTCTTTTTAAGCTAATTCCCCCCCCTCCCAACCTGCAATGCCGTGACTTCCCCTGATTTTGGCCTACTCACCCTTTCTAGTGGGATGGGATATGTCTAAAGCTGCAATGTGGCACTTGGTTCTCTTCGTTGGCAGGTTTCATAGATCCAGAAACCTGGGCTGTGGAGTCACAGGGCTCGGAATCCACAAGCACAACTGGTGAGCCTGCCATGGCATTGGCACGTCCCAAATCAGACAAAACACATGCTGCTTTTCTCCTTACTGTGCAAATAACAGGCTCGTGTCATCGACCAGTCCTGTTGTAAAGTATTTTCTCCCCTGAAGAGGATCCCATCTTCAAGTCGAGAAGCAGCAAATACAGTCAAGCAATTGTCCACAGCGGTCCCACATGCAGAGACCTGATCAGTCAACTGTACCATTATAAGATTTGTTGAGCTTGTTGAATGTGAACTCTACATTATGTGTAGAAATGGGCTTTCGGTAGAGAGGATTGGATGCCTTTGGAAAAATGAACAAAGAATAAAAGTAAGGAACAAAATCTGTCATGGCAAAGCTATGTGTAATCTCACAAAGTCATAGAATGGTTGGTTGTGAAGGGATCGCAAAGCCTGTCTGGTTCCATGGATAGGATCACCTCCCATTAGACCAATTTGCTCCAAGCCTCTTTCAACCCAGAGCACCTCTGGGTGTGGGACATGCACAGCTTCTCTGGACAGCCTCTTCCATCCTCCCCTTCCTGCTCTACATATAACTATGGATTTGGCTTTGACAGGCCCTACCCAACGTCCCATCTGATGTCCTGAAATGCTGAGCAACCCTATGGCCAGGAAGCCTCCCCAGAATGCTTCCTCATAGACCTGTCCACTTGATGTTCCCAAGAACACAGCACACACATTCATCTCTCTATTTCCCATCACTGCAGTTGTTTGCTGCAATGCCAAGGGCCCACCCAGCAGCCCCCAATGCTCACCATTTCATATCTCGCCCGGGTGCGTTCACTCTGGAATCGGTCAAACTCCCTCCTGTCGTGAATGGTGACGAGCAGCTTCCAGAGTCCCAGTAGGATGGTGCCAATCAGCACCACGCTGCCAATGACAGCCAGCACGATGGTCACGGCACTGGGGGCTGAGCTGCATGCTGGAAAGGAGGGGGAGAAGAAAATCAGCTCTGGGACTCAGGCACTGCACTGCTGGGAACAGAGCTGGTTAGTGGAAAAGTAGAAGTCCACAGGACTTGTGGGGGTATGCCTAGTAGCCTCACTTCAGAGCAGTAGCACAGGTTTTCCCACCTCATGTTTCTCCTCCCAGTGGCTCTGTCTCTAAACCAGGGCATGTCATACTTGCTGCTTCCTGAGCAGGCTGTGTTTAATTTCAGCAATCTGATCTGGCAGAAAGCTCTTGGGCCACTTGCTAGTAATGCTGGCAGCTCAGGTGCACATCACACTCTTAGAAGCTTTTCATTAACCACACTGGAAGCACCTGGCTCTGTGTTTCAGCCCTGTTAAATCAGCTCAGTTCTTTTGCACCTGTGTGCAGCCTTGTCACCTCTCATGCTGTCAGTAAGGAAAATGAAGGAGGCCCAACCTGGCTCCTTGAGGACGGTGAGGTTGGATTTCCCATTGGCAAGCTCCGAATAGGTGAACTTCATGACGCAGTTGTTCACTGGGTAGGCACACAGGATTGCATTGGGGTCATCCGTTTCTGAAATAATAAGGGCAACTTGGTGACTTGCACAGCACACCCCATATGTCAAAGCACCTTCATTCTCAGCCAGGTGCTTTGGGAAGGCTCGTTTCCACCCAGAGGCCCAGCATCAAAGCCAGCCCCGGCTATTCAGGAGCTGTGTCACACTGGGGACCGTGCATTCCTTCCCATATGAGGGGCTTCCTGTCCTACATATGGTGCACATTACAGCCCAGCCCCAGTGGCTGGGAGAGCTGAAACAGCACCATGTGGGGGAAGGGAGAATGCAAACATTAGGAAAAGCCTAAGAGCCTCCACCATGGTACCTTTGCTTTGCAGCTGCCCCTGGTCCTGCTGCAAGGCACTCTGTCTGAGAGTGGCTGATGGAGCAAGGAAATGGCCTGAGCAAAACAGGGAATTAGCAAGGTGAGCACCCTGGGAATGGAGGAACATAGGGAACAAAAACTGCTCCTGGAAATCATCAGCACATTTTGATCTTGCTTCGTGTGAAAGTGGAGATGGGGTGGCTGCAAGAAAGGAGATAAATTAATTCCCAGAGATGGTGCCTTCAGCCCTTCCTGCAATGCCCCGTTCCTGGAAACGTCCCCTTGCAGGGCAGCATCTCCAGCCATGCCAGGCAGCCCTGCAGAGCAACTCTTGCCTTTATGGGATAGCATTTTCAAGAAAGGCATCTGGGCCACTTTATCCTATTGGTCATCAAGACATGGCTGAGGTTCTGGCACCTCTGCTTGTCACTAGCACCTGTATCTGACTGTCACACTGAGAAATGATGGCATTAATGACCACTGCTAACCCAGGCTTTTCTCCCTTCTGTTTAGTCTTTCCTATCTTTCTCCCTTCTGTTTGTCTTTCCTTTCAATGCCTTTGACCTGCCTTCAGCAGGGAGATTAATACCCTCCATTTCAACAGCTTGGAGCCCAGTGGACTCACTGCTGCAGACAGCCTTCAGCTACTCCTGCCTTAGGACATAAACATCCACTCTACCTATACCTGTGGCACCAAAGGCAGGGCTGGAGATTAATTAGGTCAATTAAGTTGATACAGATAACACTTGTGAGTTTCTTGACTAATGCCCCTATATGCTATTGAGAAGATAACTTGGCTCCTTAGGTCCCACTGCTTCCAGTCCCAGCCTGGCACCAATATTCTGCTAAAACATAGAGCAATTAAAGTTTCGATAGTAACAACTCTTGTTGGCCTTTACTAGCTGTCAGAGCTCAGGGAAGTGGTAGAGTTGCCATCCCTGGTGATACTTAAGAGCAGCGTGGATGTGGTGCTTAGGGACATGGTTTAGTCATGGACTTGTAAAGCTAGGTGGTAGTTGGTCTTGCTGCTCTTAAGGGTCTTCTGAATAAATGGTTCCATGGTTCTGTGGTTCAAGCCCACAGCCAGAAGGCACCTGGGACATCCCAGCAGTGCTCATTGCTCCACTGCTGTGACAGTGCAAACCTGTGTCTTCTTTCTGCCAGTGATGAATACCAGCATTCAGCCTTTCTGCAGGGTTTTCTAACAAGTGCTACATCACAGAAACACTTGAGGATGAGGATTTGGCTGAGTCTGCCTGTGAGTCCCTGTGCACTTTCTCTAGGAATATTTTGCAGCCCAGATTTCCAAGTTCCAAGCTCTCAAATCTCAGCACCACCCAGGATCAGACTGCGGCGGCACAACAGAAGAATAAGCATAATTCCCCATCACATCTTAAAACAGAGATTTGGCTGTTTTCCTCTGAAAGCAGCAGGGGATTGGCCAACCACAGCCCAGTCTCACCTCCCAGGGCACAGCCAGCACAAAGGCTGGCTCCGGAGTTGTGCAGTAGGCAGGCAGAAGAGTTAAGATTTAATCCCTTGTATGTTCTGGCTCCTTAGAAACAAGGGGCAGCCAGGCATCAGAAAGGAGCTTCATGTGGGTCGGAAGCATTTAAGATGGCCTTGTAACCTTTCACAGTGCGCTGGGATAGGTTCACTCCCCAGCAAGCTGCAGTGAGGATGGGGAGAGCAAGAGCAAGTCTCAGAAAGGAGAAGATAGGAAACCATGCTGGTTGTTAATTGAGAGAAAGGACGAGCAAGATAGAGCACTTGTATACCCTATGAACTATGGAAGAGAAGCAAGAAATGTCAGACATGGATGGCCATGTATCCCTGCTTGATCCAGAAGCACTGGCCTCTCTGCCCCAACTCCAAGGGCTGTTAACAAGGTCAAGGTCAGGACTGAGACTGAAGCTTTCACTGTTTGGCTCTCCTCTGTCCTGTATAAGAGCAACTAGGGACTGCCAGAGTGAAGGTTGAAAAGAAGGGGGAAAGGTATCTGCTGAGGGACGTGGTGTGGAGTGACCTTCAGAAGAGGACACAATGAGCAGGACAGGGGATACTTCTTCCTAAATGAATTCTCAGGGAGATTAGAGAATGCCTTTTTTGGAAGACATTTTGTCCTTTTACATTCTCTCACAGCTCATCTAATCTCTCCTGTCTCCTGATCTTATCCTGCTCTCTTGCATTGGCTGCAGTGGGCCTTACACACACCAGGACCTGCTCAGGTGTGGTGGAGAAGCAAATCTTTTGGACAGGCTTGGGCAGACTTCATGTAGCTGTGAGCTCAGAAAGGCAGAGTCACGGCTGCACATAGCAAATGCATGCCCAGGGGGATGTACTAATGGCTAACCTTACAGCAATTAGCATCTCACGTCTACAACAATCAATATGTCCAATTCATAAAACTCATTACTTCTTCCAATTTTTTTCTAAATGACTTCATTAAATGAAATTAACATGCTTCCTTCCAAAAGGCAATGAGGAAAAATTATGTACGGCTGCTTGAATCCAGATTTTAAGATGCTATTTAAATTCAAGGATGTTTTACTTAGCATTGAGACTATAGCTAATCCAGAAATATGAACACAACAGCAATTGAGTTGCTAACACGAACACTCAAAGCAATACAAATTACAGCCTACATAAAGGGTCATACGTTTTGCTTTCTAAATACTATTTAGAAACCTGAGGCTTTCCTTACAGATATGCCTTGGTCTTGCTGAGAGCAGTTGGTCACTGGGTATTGCTTGCTGGGCCTGGAGCATCAGTCTTAAGGGGAGTGGCTGAGGGAATGGGATTGTTCAGGTTGAAGAAGAGGAGGCTCTCTACAACTCTCAGAAAGGAGGCTATGCCATGGTGGGAGTCGGCCTCTTCTCCCAGGTAACAGTGATAGGATGAGAGGTAATGGCCTAACATTGCACCAAGGGAGGTTTGGGTTCGAAATTACGAAAAATTTCTTCTCCAAAAGAGCGTGATGCAGTGGCACAGGCTGTTCAGAGAGATGATGGAGGTGTCCCTGAAGGTGTTCAAGAACCATAGAGATGTGGCACCTGGGGACATGGTTAACATGCATGGTAAGGATTATTTGACAGTTGTGATAGTTGGACTAGATCACCTTTGTGTTTTTTTCCAACCTTCATGATTCTATGATTCTATGATTCAGCTGTGTACTTACTGAGAACATCCACAGTGGTGATGAGCTCATCCTTGCAGTGCTTTTGGCAGGTTTGGTTATCCAGTCTTCCTGAGTTAAACAGCTTGCATTCAATGCAGTCCCTTCAGAAAGACACACAGAGAGAAAGACTGAGTACAGAAAGAGGGTGGGAAAGAGAGGTTTCAGGATCAACCATTTTCATTACAAGGATGGATTTGTTTCAGAGGTGGATTCAGTGAAGAAGCAAACAGCTGTAGGTCTGGAGACCGTTTGCCCTTTGGATGTAAGAAGCTGCATATCAGTTACTGCAAAATCCCTCCTGTCTAAGATCAAGGCAGAAGCATGACCAGGTGCTGGTATCCAGGACATCTCCACCTCTGCAAGGTGTCAGCCAGCCCCTTCTTTACATCTCACAGCTACTTGAGCCCAGAAATGTTCAGGTCAGCAAATCTGGGCTGCCAGCCTACAGAGCAGAGCAGCACTAAATGAACCTCCATGAGAACATGGACAGCAACACTTGTTGCTCTATGCATATACTCAGTGCCTGCAGCACTGTCAGAGGAGAGGTGATAGTACGAACCCAGCTGTCCAGGATGCTAGGGACCTTCTCTACCTGGGTGGGTGGGCAGGAACCTCCCAGGAACCAAAGAATCCCTCTCCCCTGCATCAAGAAGTCCCTCCTGAAGCCCCATGTACCTTTTGGTGCTGCAGACCCCTGGGCAGGTGGGACATTTCTCGCAGGTCTCCCCGAACGCCCCAGGCTCAGTGCACTGGCACCTCCCACAGATGCAGTTGCCGCGGCCGCTGCACATCTGCCCATCGCTGGAGACGCAGCCGGCGGTCTCAGTGGAACAGTTGCAGTTGTCCCCGATGTACCCCGTGTGGCACTTGCACTCCCCACAGTGACATTCTCCATGGCCTAGGGGACAGAGCAGTGAGAAGGGTATCAGCAGCGACCAGAGCAGTGCTGTGTGACACCGGTGTCTCTGTGAGGGTCCTCCCCTACCAGAGCATCCCCTTGCAGAGCTGGCATTAAGGGCCAGCCTGGGAAAATCAACAGGCTTAAAGGCTTTCAATTACAGTAAGTGTCATGGCTGGCTGCCCAGCAGCTGGTTTCAGAACAGCATCCATCAGCTCACTGGAAACACTGCTCAAATTCCTCTGTGGTTGGTCCTGAGGAGCAAGGATGCTTTTGAAGACATGATTTCTCCACAAGGCTCATCAGCAACCTAATTACAGCTCAGCTTTCCCACTGGAAACAGCCTCAAGTAGCTCAGACAAGATAAACTATATACATGCTCTTCTCACCAGCACTAAACCACTGATAGCTCTGCCTCTCCCATTGTCCTGAGAACAACAGAGGGACCATGAAGCATCAAGCAGCCTTTCTATATGAAGGTGACTAAGCTTGGGGTGTGAGTCTGAAATTTAAAAACATGTTGATGTATTTTCTGCCTGGCCACACTGGCTCAAAGTGCAAGAAGCTCGTCTTGGGGAACAAGCCAAGAGTGGGAATTTCCATGTTGACCTTTAGCAGCAAAGACATTATAATCTGCCTGCACCAGCCTGAAAGAGCAGCCACTTCTGCAAGCACCAAGAGCTCCATTTGTGGTGCTCCGAATCTCCCACCTGGCATGGCCTGAAGGCTGGGTAGGACACATTTATGCCTCATGGGGGCATGGTAGGAGTGGATCTGCTTCTCAAAGTACACCCATAGCCCCGGAGATAGGAATTCACTCCCAAGATGAACCCTGCTTCCCAGATTCATGTTTGAGAAGAAAACACAGCTTCAGGACTACTGAGGAGGGTGTGCTCCAGGCCCCCTCTGCTCCTGCAGCACTCACTGTGCAGGACATCAGCACAGCCTTTAACCATTTGGATTTGCATGGTCTCTATTAGAGCAGTTTTGCAAAGCCAAAATACATTCATTGTGTGCTCCAAACATAACAAGATGTTTTCTTCTGTTCCCATCCTTGAAATGAGAGGATGTGAGACATTTAAAAGATCCCCATCTAGCTGGGAAATGACAAGCTCCCTCTGACTTTGTAATGTACCTACCAGTAAACCTTTAATTGTTAGGGATAACACCTCCCAAACTTTATGCATCTGCTATTGTCATTTTTGGTTATCTGCATGACTGCTTTAAAAAGAAAAAAAACAACCAACAATACCACCACAAAACAAGAGAGGAAAGCTGGGGCAGGATCCGGTTAAGATAAACAAGCATATCCAAGCAATGCACAGCCCCACCAGTGCCATCCCTTATACAGAGTGCTGAGCCCCGACCACTGCTCTTGCTGCCTTACGTGTTGTTTGTATTCCCCAGAGTTGAAGGCACCAAAAATATCTGCCTACAGCAGAGGGAATGGCCAAAGCCCAGACATGAGGCACTGCTGGGCCGGCCCTGTTGTGCGAGTGCAGGATTGGAGCTTCTGGTCCTGCACAGTTTGCATGGGAGGGAGAAGGACAGCAGAAGAGGCTGGGAGAGTCTGGAAACTTTCCGTTTGGGAAAGGGTTCTGGTAAGAAGCAGTGCCTGTTTAAGCAAATAAATCATCTGGATTGCCACTAATCTCTTTCCATGACTCAAAGGAGCCGCAGGCTGATGACCACTGCGTTGCCAGATGCTTGGCACTGGCGGGCAGGGAGGACTCGGGGAAGTTAATGAAGCAGGGATAGAAAATGTTCCCCTATCCTACAGGAGCACTACAGCCCAGTGTCCTTGCTGCAAAAAGACACTGAAGTCTCTGTGCAAACTGCAATGTGTCCACCGACTGCCTCCACTCGTGCCAGAAGAGCACTCGCCCATGCTCATCTACCCACAGCACAGCACTGAAACAACAAACCAAGCACTAAAAGGCAGATAATAGGGAAAAAGAGCTCTTCTATGTATGCTAATTACACAAGACACCATGAACTTGTGCATCCTGCCACTGCATTAATGTGAGAAGATATTTATATCTCAAAGCATAGGGGTTTTGGCCACGAATCGATGAGGCTTTAAATAATGTTTTACTCAACCCTAGCACTGGCAGAGCTCACAGTTCCACCACTGAAAATAGCATCAGCAATGCAGACCAATAAAAGCAAAACTGGAAGAAGAAATCCATGCCTCAGTTGTGACTTCAGCCCTGGGCAACACGAACTGCATCACCAACTCCATGTTACTGTCAACATCCCAATGACAAAAGTCCTCACCCTCCTCATCTTTCCCATTTCTCCCTCACTTGGGAGCTTCTGAGTTAAACAGGAACTGGGCAGGGAGCTCAGGGCTCTGGGAACTGCAGGCTCACTTTGGTGAGCTGGGGCAGAGCGGATTTCCTGCAGAGCCCTGCCAGCCTTCCCTCATCTTCCTCCTCTCCCCTGCAGAAGTGCAACTGAAATGTAGTCACAAGATGAGTCTTTGCTGCCCATTCTGGCTTTTTGATGTATCATTTCCTGCATTTCTTAAAATAAAGCCTTTTTTTTTTTCTTTTTTTTTTTTTTTTCTGGTTAAGAAATCTCAGTGCTCCACAGATTTCCTGACTTTTGCTTACATGAGCTCCTCAGCCCCATGTAGCTTTCTGGAGGGGGATGCACAGCTGGGAGTTGGGAGCTTTCAGGTCCCACTGCTGACTCTGTTACAGCTGCCGGCAGTGATGCGGGGCTGCCAGACCTGAGGGGATGAAACTGGGATGGGTGTCATGGTTGCAGTACAGCTGCGGGTTGAAGTAACTCAACCAAACTGAGTACATGCTTATCCATGGCTTCATCACCTCTTAGGAGCTTGGCTGGAGGCATTGCAAAAATAGCTGACAATTCCTATTACAAAGCTTCCTTGCTGCAAGTGATGATCCATGGACCCACAACCAGAAGCTTCTCCCCCACTTATCATAGAATCTTTGAATTGAAAGGGACCCTTAAAGGCCATCTGGTCCAACCTCCCAGCAATGAGGAGGGACACCTACAGCTCAGCTAGGTTCTCAGAGCCCCATCCAGCCTGACACTGAGTGTCATCAGGGACAGGGCATTCATCACCCCCACTTCCATACTCTTTGATCCATCTCTGCAGGCACAGCATGGCAGGTCAGCAGGGATGGATTTCAGAAAGCACACGTAAAAAACCACCCAGCTCCCTTAGATTTATTCTTAAAATAAAGCCTGGCTCCAAAACAAAGCTGCAGAATCCCAAATGACTGAACTCTAGGGTCAAATTCTATGGTTCAAGCCCATCCTTAAAATGAAAAGCAGGCTAACTCCCAGCCTACCGAGGCACAAATGTGCTGAATGTCCTTTCAGCTGGACCTCATTACAAGGAGTGGTCCCCAGAGCAAAGAGACATTCTTTCATTGCAGAATCCAGTGCTGCGGGAGCCTTGCCCAGTTCTGCATTTGGATGCGAACACATAATCTGGTGCAAGTTCACCAAAGGTCCACGGTTTGGGGATGAATTTCTCCCTTACCAAAGAAGCTGAAAGAAGTCAGAATTTCATTCAGAATAAGATATAGGAAAAGAGAAAGACTCCACAGCTGTGCAGCAGTGTTAGGTCTCATGTTTGGTATTCTAAACTGAGCAAAATTCAGGGGCTGTCTGTGCATGCCAGTAAAAAACACAATTTCACTCACCTGCTTGCTTTAGACTGTTAGCCTCTCAACCCAAAACACAGCATTCATTTCCAACCACTTCTTTCTGTTAATTAGTGTAATCAGAAAGGTCAAATCCAGGCACCAAAGGAACCAGCCATAAGGGCAAAGCATTTAGGCCACACCATCATCTCCTTTTGAGGAGCACATGCTCAGCATAGCTTGCTTTCCAAGTCTCTATCATTCATATTTTGGGGCTTTCTGGAGTTTGTAGTCTGTGGAGCAGCTGCACCTGCACATGCAGTCAGGTAGGTGCCTGTGCCATCAGATGACACTTCTTGCTGCTGCTTTAAGAGAGACCCCAGGCAGAGCTCTGGCTCCTGCAAAGATGTAGTAAGCGCCACTGCCGTACTCTTTTAATTCTGCCATGGCATTTAATGCCTCATTAGCATGCATTAATGGTTGCAAAAGGCTTGTTCAAGGGCAAGGAGAAACCTCAAGTGAAAAGCGGTCGGAACAGCAGCACTCTGTGCGGTCAGATCCTTGAAGGGATTGCTGCCAGGGTTGGGGAGGGCTGCAACAGCACTGAGGGCCTGGGCAGGGGGAAAGGAGGGGTAAGAAAAGCTGGCATTTTCCTCCTGTGCATAGAATGGGACTTTTGGAGAAACAGAGCCCTATCCTTCAGGGACAAAGCCCCAAATCCATCAGTTTCTAATGGCTTCTCCCAGGCTGTGACTGTTTTGGGGCTGACAAAACTGGCCCAAGCCCTTCTGCAAGCATCAGAACAGATGGGGTTGGAAACAGAAAAACCCTTTAGCAGGTGCCCAGCACACATGGGTGACACATATGAGTGTTCCCCAAGCACATATGGTCCCTAGGGAATTCCCCTGCACTGCTGGAGCACAGCCTTGGGGAGATCCTTAAGGATCCAGCCCAGGTCTGGCACCTAAGGGAGAAGTCCAGGGTCAGAAGAGGAGGTGCCATTTAGTTTGTGCAAGAGGGAAAAGAGGTCCTAGGAGGGGAAGGCAGGAGCTGGGTGCAAGGTTTCTTAGGCTATTTTAGGTCTTCGGCTCTCTGCCTTTGGCATGGAGCAGGATGGGAAAGGCATACACTCGAAAGAACACAGCACACATCTCAGCACTGCACTGCACAGAGCGGAACAGAAACCAGGTTTAAAAAGAAATAAATACAGAGAGGAAGCAGAAGAGAAAGGCTGGGGAAGGGTGGAGAAACAGTGAGATTTCAGGAGACTCACAGGGATGCTTCCTCTCACCTGCAAGGGCCACCACAAATTTGCATACCTTTCCAGTCCTTCCCAATTGCCCAGCAGCACAGGGATGAGCAGAAGGAATCCTCTTAATCTCTCCAGCCTCAAGCCGTGTTGCCCTGGACCTTACATCCCTCCAGGCTGCCCCACATGGTGGAAGCAAACAGAGCTGACCTGATGACCCCTAATTTCTCCATGCTAAGCCATGTGATGAGAGCAAATGGAACATGCCCAGCTTAGCAGCTTAACCCAGAGAAAGGAGGAGAGCAGAGGAGGCCCCCCAGTTGAGTTTGGCTTATTACAAAATGTCTGCAGTGTCTGTATAAATTCTCATCAAAGCCAAAACATTTCATGGGCAGAGAGCTCCCACCAGCTGATGTTTATAGGCTAGGACTGGAAGTGTACACCACAAACCAGAGGTTTCTTTTTTCCTCACTCAGGCAGAAGATCTTGAGATGCCTGCACCACATCTGCTGGTTGCTGAGTAGTAATGGGCACACAGTACTCACGTCTGCCCAGGGTGGGGAGGATGCAAAGAGGGAAAGAAAAGAGACACAGCCCTGTAACACTAACAACAAAAGAAATCTTTCTGCATTTCCAGGCAGTGATGTGCATCTGCACTCAGATTCTGCATTTTCACTCAAGCCCCCAATTTTTTTTTTTTAAATTGCCCAAAAAAAACCAACCAAACAACAACAACAAAAAACAAAGATATCAAAACTTGACATGACAGAAAAGAAAACACAGCAGATGTGGTTAAGCTCTGTTCCCTTTTTTTTCCACAGAGCATCCTTTTCCCTTTGGGGCTATTCACCACCTGCTGTGCATGGCAGGGCAGCCAAGCAGCCAAAGCTGCAGGCACAGGGAAGTTTCCCTCCCCCTTCCCAACCACACTCAGCCACCACCTCCACCTCTGAAGCCACCCAGCACTGCCCACTTCTTTCTTAATAAAAACACAGCGGCTTCTGGTAAAAGCTGCTGTGGTAGGAATGAAGATTGCATAGATGAAAAAAAGAAATGGTTACAGCTGGGTTCCTTCTGTTCCTGCATCTGAGACCTTCCCTGGCACACCAGTCCTGGTGCAAGCAGACAGATGATGACTTCAGAAGCAAGTGGGAAAAGATCTGCTTTCAGGCCAAGTGTCTCAGCCTGTAGGAATTAGTACAGTAAGAGCCTGCATCAGAAATCACAAGGCAGAGATGCCAGTGGTGCCAGTAGATGTGAGCACTGCCCTCAAAGCACGGGGCTAGCACGTTCTGTGTCTCTTGCACAACCAGAAACTGCAGCACAGGCACTTAGCAGCATCTTCCCATGAGAGCCAGCACAAGGATGGAGCTGCTGAACCCTGATGCGGCGCCTGCAACCAGGAAATCCTAGAACAAATTGCAGAAGCAGGAGCGTGATTTCTAATGTGAGGTTGTAGCAAAACAAACAAAAGCCTTATGTCACTGTGTGCCAGCACCGGCCAAAACCCCAGAGATTCTTCCCCATTTAGCAGACCAAGGAAAGGGAAGCAGTCAGATATAACTATGGAGGCCATGAAAGATTTGCACATCCTCAGCAGTTTTTGAAGTTTTTCAGTTTCCGCAGGGCAGTTGGAGGTCTATGTAGACAGAGTCTCTGTGCAACAAGCCATGGGCTTTTGGGTGAGTTGTCATTTCCTAAATCCCTTTTTAGAAGTGGTTTTGGGTGACAAATCTAACACCCTATTGCTGATGTTAGCTTTTTGCGTCAGTAGTGGTGAAGACAAGGAAATTTCTGTAGACACACCGAAGTAAAGGAGATGCTGTACTACTCACACCCCCTGCAAATACGGGTCTGAGAACTGCAGCTAACAAAGCGTGGCCTCCAGCAAACCAGTCCTGCTTCATTAGTGGCCAGTGCATGATGCTCTCACCAGGGCCTCTCCTCCCTCTTACTAACTCATTTTATAGGACCTTTAGGAATGCAATTAGCACTGAGATGTTTCCTCCTTTGTCAGATCTGCTGGAAGGCAGCCAAGGGGTCCAAAAGCCATGGGGATGCACAGTGATCTGCAAATTCCTGAGCTGGGCTACAGGAAGGGAGGCAGGCAGTGAGCAGAGGGCTCTGCCTCTCCATGGCAGCCATCCAAACTGTCTAGGAAAGGTCAGACCCTGTGCTGAAGCTCCCAACATGATGCACAGCTGTGTGCAGTGTTCAGAAACTCTTCTGTCCTCTCCTTCTTCAGAAAAGCTGAATCTACCATAGCTACTTCTTCCAGAGACTTGCTGCTCCTTAGGGGCAGTTTGGGGCACACCCCACACCAACTGCTGTGCAAGCTCAGGCTCTTTTGGTGGGCTGGAGAAGCTCTAAGCCCCTTGGGCTGAGAAAACTTACTCAATAGGCTGGAATTTAGAAGAAAAAAAGGCTACAAAACAATAAAATACCAGGAGGCATGGTGAGAACCTCTCCACCAGTCTGTCTTGGAGCTGCCTGGCCTCAGCCTCCGCTTTGTTTTCTTTCACAGCTATAAAAAAAACTTTTAAATGACTCTAAAACTGGCACATCCCAAACCAACTCTGCCCTTCTTCCCACCACCAGCAGCCCTCCACGAGGTGCAGCAGTAGACACATGACTTGCCATGGTGTTGTTTCCAGTTGCTGCCAAAAGCCAGAGGATTGCCATTCCCATATGCAGACGGTGCCCCAACAGCCCCAACCTGCCTACCAACACAACAGTTTCCAATGGCCCAAGGAGTGGCAGAGTCACTGTCTTTGGAGATGTTCAAGAACTGTGGAGATGTGGCACTTGACAGACATGGTTAGCAGGCAGTGTGGGGATGGGCTGGAGTTGGACTTGGAGATCTCACTGGTCTTTCCAACCTCAGTATTTCTATGATTCTATAAATGCACTATCCAGGGGTAGCTCATCTCTTACTCAGAAGCCTACAGGGTTAGGCACAGTGGGGAAAAGTGCCTCCACTTCTCCAGAGAACAGTGAAAAACAGCTGCTTTTCTGAGCTTACTCTACCAACAAGAGAGCGAACGCAAACCTGCACAGCATTTTGGAAATCTGGTCTGAGATTTTCACTTGAGGAAATATTTCACTGTGAAAACGAAGTTTTTGAAGAGTAACATTTTACCCAGCTTCAAGTGAAAGAATTATGCCTTAGGGCTGATCTAGGCAAGGTAAATTACATGACCTCAGGCTAAAAAGGAATTAAAGGAATTGCCATTTTAGCAAACACTGCTAAATAGCTCCTCCACCTTTGCTGAAGCAAAACAGACTGGCTAAATCTTGACCAGTGGATGATTTGTCTTCCCAGCAGGCAGAAGTCTGCATGTAAAGTACCTTCAGGAATTTCAGGTCTCCTCTGAGCCTTCTCTTCTCCAGGCTGAACAAGCCCAATTCCCCCCGTCTTTCTCAGCAGAACTACTCCAACCCTCAGAGCATCCTCATGGCCTCCTCTGGACCTGCTCCAACAGCCCCGCATCTTTCTTGTGCTGGACACTGTACTCCAGATGAGGCCTCATGAGGACTACACTGAGGCCACATATCAGCGAACACGCTCCCAAACAATCAACACCAAAGCTGCAAATTTGCAGCCTGGGCAAAGCAGAGGGTGGGGGGTGGGACGGCACCTACCTGAGCAGAGGACTCCCTTGTACCGGGCACAGGAGAAGTCGTCACACTCACAGAAGGGCCCGTAGATGTTCCCGAACTCGCTCTCATAGCAGACACACTGGTTGCAGCTGCACTCCCCCCGTCCGCTGCAGACGGGCTTTCCCTCCACCTCACGGCACAGCCCAGGCTGGGTCTCCCCGCCGGCCCCCTCCTCACACTCGCAGCGGGCCCCCAGGTAGCCGGCATCGCACTCGCACAGCCCGCAGGCATAGGTCCCATTGCTGCTGCACTTGCTGCTGGCCGGCTCCGCGTGGCCGGTGCAGCCGCAGAGGCAGTTGTAGGTGATGGCCACTTCCAGTGTGTCACGGAAGCCGGCTGGCTTGATGGTGAAGACATGGGAGGTGTCCTCAGCAGGGCAGCCGCGGGCCTCCACCGACACCTCAAAGGAAACCTGGAGACAGAGAGCGAGGGGGGAGTCAGTGTGCAGCCCAAAATCGCCTCCCAGGTGTGTATGAACTGCCCCAACTCCACCTCATGTGGGCACCTCAGCGCCCTGACAGCCCATCAAGGTTTTGACCTCCTTTCTGCCCCTCACCACCACTCTGGTTCCCCATACGGGCCATGTGTGACCCAAGTGGGACAAGCAAAGCAAACCATCCCCGCAAACCACACACCAAAGGGAGAACCACCAAGAGGGAAGTGTTGGAGCTGTGCTAGGGGAGCCCCACACAACTGTGCAGCCTTCATGCCCCCACATAGCCCATGCAGCTTCTGCCTGCTGAACCCACATCTCAGCCCTCACCAAAGCGTTCATTATTCCGTGGGTAGCTCATTTCAAAACACACCACAGGCATTCAAGTGAAGTTTCAAGGCTTAATACCATCACCCATGAGAGTTAATGTTCTCCATCACAGACCTCTGGTTTCTGCGAGGCAGGAGGCAGCCTGCCTGAAATAACTGGGGCAAAAGTCTAGCAAACAGACAGGTTTTCATAATAGCAAAAATAGGACATTTGCTTGAAAGCAAGTACCAGCACAGATCTAGCCAGTGCAGCACAAGGACCAAAGGTGTCTACAAGGTGAAGGATTTAGCACCTTTTTGTGAGAATCCCAACCTGCATCACTCATAAAGCCCCAATTATGGAACAAACATAAATTACAGAGAAGGACATAGAATCACAGAACCATTAAGATTGGAAAAGACCACAAAGATCACAAAGTCCAACTCTAGCCCATCTCACCATGCCCGCTACCCACATCCCTCAGTGCCACATCTCCACGGTTCTTGAGCACCTCCAGGGATGGTGACTCCACCTCTTCCCTGGGCAGCCTGTGCAAGTGCCTCATTACTCATTCTGAGAGGAGATCTTTCCCAGTATCCAATCTGAACCTCCTCTGGTACAACTTAAAGCCATTACATCAGAAAGCAAGCTCAGGGCATCACCCTGCTCCCTTCCACATGCCACCAGTACGAGACCCCAGCATTTCAGGACCCGGTGTCGATGTCAACCCCTTTGGGGAAGCTCCCTCAGCTGTTCACAGGAGCTAGACTCTGATGTTCACAGAAGCTGCTGAGCAGGAAGAGATGCAGGGACAAACCTCAACAGCTGGGTGAGCTCTGTCTTCATGCCAAAGGCCAGAGCCCAGGCCCAGCCACCAGATTAATGCTCCTGCTCCAAGGGGGCCCTGGCTTTGGTGACGACATCAGGAGGGCACATGCCTATGGTTGGCACAGCTCCAGCAACTGATTCTACCCGCTGAGCTGAAATCCAGTAATGTCAGCTAAAGTGCTGAGGCCACCTCCCTTTTTAACACTTCATATAGCCCTTATTTGGAGGGGTAAAGGTTCAGCTACTGTTTATTCTTCCAAACTATTTTTATATGCCCAAATGCTTAGCGCTCTGGTATGTTTTTAAAGCTGTTCTTCTCAAATAAGGAAATCATCCTGCTAATGAGTCCTTGCAAACAGCAAAGGCCTGGAGAAGGGCTCAGGATTCCCAGCCAGGCTGAGCCTGCTGGCCCTGCAATGCAGTGCTGATGCCAGGTGACAACATGCCCTCCTGGTCATGCTCAACATGTTCAGGTGCATCTGGACTTCACAGAATAACAGAAACACAGAATCATTTGAGCTGGAAGGGATCTTTAAAGGCCATCTAGTCCACCTACCCTGCCATGAAGAGGGAAGAGCTCTTCACCTGGCAGAGCTGCTCTCAGTGGGTTTTTACATTACCATAGCACAGTTTTGAGGCTAGCAGAGGAAGATGGGCAGCCAGGATGTGCAGAGAGACAGACTCACCGTATCTCCTATCTTGAGATCCCCACATTTTCTGAGCCCAGGGTAGGACAATCCATCCTGGCAGGTGGCAGTGAAGGTCAAGCCAATGTCCTCAGGGCTGTCCCAGACAGTGAGTTCTACTTTGGACCGAATGCTCTGGAAACACAATGAGAAAGAAACTTATCAGGTTAATACAGGCAGGCAGGTTTCTTTTGCAAAGCATTCTGCTTTGGTATCTTCTGTTGTATTCAGAAGGCAGCCAGGACATCAGTGCACCAATACAAAAAACAATACCTGGAATTGGACTGGAGCACCTGAGGATGGTTTATGCACTCTACAAGGGTCACGATGACCACTGAAGCCTGTACTGGAAAGATGCATACACAACAAAATAAAAAAGGAAACATTCTCAACCACAAATGGACCATTTGCTTCATCTCCAAGCTGTAGGTCAGAGCCTTGTATGCACATCTACACCTCCCCCATAGCAAAGTCTACTGGAAGAGTGCAGAGCCCAACGCTCCACTGGCATCCATCCTGTGATGCTTTTTGTACTGCACAAAGGGGGCATAAAAACACACTTGCAACTGAATCAGCAACTCTGTCCTGCTTTCTTGATTCAACACAAACTGGTCAGAAAAACTTTTCTCTCTGAAGAGAAAATGCCAGACTTTTTTGGATAAGTCAATAGCAAATACCACGTTTTCTATGGTGAAAAAAATGTAAAATCTCTTTATTTGTGAAACATTTTAAAGTGAAAGATGTTCTCTATCTGCGATGTTTTGGTACACTCCTACTCCCTTTCTTCTTCTTCTCATTTCTCCACTCTGCTGCACAACCCAGACTTTTTAAGCCAAAACAAAATAAAGGGAAAACTCTGTTTATAAGTATTAATGTGAAACAAGGTTGTTTTGTTTAGTTCTTCTGATGGCTGGAAGTGACGCATTGTGAGTGGTATCCAAAAAAGGCAAAGGCTACAGAACACAGGACAGCAGGTCAGAAAGACCACAGTATGACCTCACCTGGGTCATTCTTACGTTCTGATGCAAACACCAAGATTTCTTATCAGCCTTACTGGGTAATGCTATTAGCCTAATTTTAATCCAATTATTATTAGCCACTTGGCACTGCAAAGCAGCATACCTCCATGGCACTGCAGCCACTACTGGAGGGGTTTTGCTACTGTGCTGTTTGGTGGCCCCCAGGCCTCCAGTACCTTCAGAAATGAGCAGAAGACTCCAGAGAGATTCAGGGGAAGGACCTTGCCCACAAGATGGAGCAACTTCTGACTGAAATAAAGCTATAATGGCATGGGGTACACCCTAAGGAGGAGCATTTCAGTGTGAACACAAGGGAATTCTGAACCTGTAGCAGCTCCAAGGACAGCTGACACAAAGGCCACCTGCCATGGAAAACCCATCAGTGCTGTAGAGAGGAACATTATGAGATCTTCTGGGAATGGGTTCAGAAAAGCAGTGCACTGTTTGCCTCTCTGGCTGCAAAGATCAGCTCAGACACTGCATGTATGAAGAACCCTACCTGAGGGCTGACCCAGAACAGCACAGTATTTCAGTTTAGCCAAAAAGAACACGGGTGGAGCAAAGTATTTCCACAACAGACTTTCATACATGGTCACACTGAGTTACACATCTCACACACCCAACATCCTTCCAGAAGCACAGAGCTGACCAGGACCCAGCAGAAATCCAACAAATTCAGACAGCTATCCCACTAGCTCGCTATCTAGCTGCTTCTGGTCACTCTGCTCCCCTTATTTCCATAGAGTTGCACAGTGATCAACCCAAGGATGCCACCTAAGCCGTGTCATGTCTCTGACAGGTCACTGAGCATCAAAGAGCAAAGAAATGGTCTATTTTATCTAATGGTAGGGTGGTCTGTGACAGCTATTAAATCCGGGTTGCATTTATGGTGTAATTCCACTCATGCTTTGCTTTCTTGCCAGCCCAGCAAGGGCCCAAGCAGATGACATCAGCCCAACCATCAGCATCATCCTAAAGAGGACAAGCAGCTCTTTTCCCTCCCCAGGGTGGATGCAAGCACGTCAGCAGCGACCCACTGTGAAGAGGACCAGAGAGATGCAGCCAAGTCTGGGTGGAGCACACGAGGCAGGGCTGAGCGAGCTCAGCTCTTGGCGCTCCCACCACAGCAGCTGTGGTTTTAAAACACACTTACGTTGTAGGCCTTGACAATCAGCTCAATGATATTCTTGGAGTCCTTGTGCAAAATCTCCACCGTGGTCCCAGGAATCAAGGCAGTGAAGTTCTTGAAAAGACAACAAGTGGAAAACGCGCTGCAATGCAATGCGATGTGGCAGTCGAGCTTCCCTGGGAGCGGGTGTGGAGCATGAGCTCAGCCCCCAGCCCCATGGGGACTTCTAGCACCTCGCTGCCTGCCTGGCTCAGAGCAGAGAATGCACATCCCAAAAACCCAATCTGCATCCCCACATCCCTCCACCCACTTCTGCCACGAGACAGCTCCAGGGAAGAGCCTCCTGCCGTGGGAATGGCAAAGGAGCTCAGGTTGGGGCTAGGGAGATGGAAAAATACAGCTGGGCAGCAGCACCGTACTGGATTAGGTAATGGGATTGAGTCACAGTGGAAAGGGCTGAACAGGTTTCTGCTCTCCCGTCTGCTGCATGGTGGCAAGATTAGGATAGGGTCTATTTTAGGTATGCACAAGCTCACTAACATAGAGATCTGCTTGCAGTAAGCAGCTTTAGTGCTTTTCACTGAATGACCATGCTCTGGGCGGTAGCAGGGAGAGGTGATAGCTGTGCCAAGCTGGTGTGTCCTAAGGGCATCATGGCCAAGATGCTCTCAAGAGGAACCCTAAGCCCTGCCCATGGATGGCTCAGCAGCACTTACCTTGTACAGGACATAATGGCTTTTTGTAACAGCAAAAATCAGGTGGATGTTGTTTTCAGCCAGTTTCTCCCCAAGAAGTGCCAGGGAAGGATAATCCTAGGGGAAAAACAACACAGGAAGACTGATGGGTAGCACAAAGACTAATTTCATTACTCTTCTCCCAAAAGCAAAACCTGTGGCATTTCACTGCAGTGTGAAGTGAACCACTACATCTACAATGGAAATAGTAGAAACATTCTGGTAATTCTGTCACTCCCTGAATATTTCTGCTGCACCTACCATTAGAATGTATGAAAGGACAACACCATGAGCCACAGTAACACCGGAAACAATTTATTTTTTTCCTCCTCTTTCCACTTTGCTATCAGCCAATGTGCATGTGTAATAACCTAGCTGCCAACCCCAGGGATGCAAGACATGACCATGATCTAGAACTGCACTAAACAGAGATATGTGATTTTTCTCTGAAAGCTGAGATTGCCTGCTCTTGCTGCATAGCAGAGCCATGAAGAAATGATGATAAACTTCAATTCTGCAGAACTCAGAGAAAGAAAGGCTGGCAGGAAGATACTGTTCTAGCAATCCATAAGCAACAAAATAACAAAACTGCATTCATTTCAAGAGCTTTGAAACCCCAGTTTCAGGCCCCAAGCTGCTTCTGAAACGCTGCTCTCAGAAAAAGCACCCTGCTCACTTGCAAGCTGAAAGGCTGATTTAGAGCCTGCAGGACTCAAATAAACACTGAGACAGCATCCCCATGCCAGCTCCCCAGCACAGCTCCAGTACAGCAGCTGTACTCTGGAATGCAAACATTTGCAAGATTGCATGGGCTGTGGACAGGGGGTTCTCTAAGGAGCCATAGGCAACCATCCAGAAACACCTCTTGTTACAGAGTGGTGTATGCAGGAACAAAAATCATAATTAGTGCTTGTGACTTGCTGGATAAAGCACCATTCTACAGGAGGATGTGATAATTAGGCAGCAGACAAATGCTCATTCACCACAGAAGTTTCCTCCATTGAGTTTAAATAAAGGGAGAAAAAAAAGGGGCTGGTCTGTTTATTTAGTACTAAGATCTACGTTAGTGTTGTGCTCAAAGTCTGTGAATAGGATCAGCACGGCCTCGTGCTTGTGGCAGCAGCCACATCAAGGTGGGCTCAGCCTCCCTGCTGACAGCCTGACAAACCCTGGGCACTTCGCAGTTGATGATGCACTTCACTGTGCCAAGTTACATTTCCCTCTCTGTCAGTGAATCCTGACAAAACTGGCTGGGCTCCGAACCCATCTTTGAGCATCGCAAGTGCATTCACTGAGTGGAGATGTCTGAGGGAAAGAGTGAAACACTCATCAGGAGCAAAACAGCACCCAGAGCAGCACAGGGCCCGCTGACACCCTGAGGTCCCCGTGCCCACTCACCAGCTGGCTGGATGCACTGTACTCATTGGCCTCGTTCAGGTGGCACTGGCCATCGTGGGGCTGCACCAGCCCCCCCAGCTTCCCATCCAGAGCTATGTGGGGCACATCATCCGTGGTGAAAACCAGCAGGTGGGATGCCTCTTTCCGCCAGCCGATCTTCTCCTAAGGCAGAACAAAAGCCTTCGTTAACACTAATTAGTAGAGTGTCGTACATCTGTCCACCCATATCTGGCAATAAAAGATGATGTTGGGGCCCTTCTAGCATTTCCCAGCACCTCCCTGCAATGCAGTTACTTAAAAAGGCATGAGGAGGTACATGGACTGTCCACCAGACCTTCTCTGCCTCGATCCAAGAATAAGAATTTCAGCTGCTTTTATAGCCAGAGGAGACATGCCAAATTCCTCTGCACGCGTTTCATCTGACCTCGTTTCCTCAGCTCGGCGAAACGGCTGCGCTGCTGCATACAGCGTGAGAGCTGCACCAGTCCCACTCAGCATTTTTCTTGCAACCCACTCAGAAAAGCAGCTTTGGGACTGCAGCACAGGAAGCAAGGCCCTTACCTGCAGCCCATCTGTGCAAGAAACAGGCATTGTGACTGTCTGTGCATGGACAGATCTGCAGGGATAGGGTTTGTGCATGGAAAGGCACTAGAGTTGGATGCTAATTGCTTCCCTCCTACAGAGCTCCCTCAGCTCTGCACCAGCCCAAGAAGCAGATCTGTGCCTAAGAAAGCACACTGAAGCTGCTTGTTGCAATGGAAGTGGAGAGAAACAGAGGTGCCAGAAGGAAATTTTTGGATGCCATCAGGCAGCAGCTCTCTCCACCTACACATGTGGATGGCTCTGGCCTCCAGCTTGTGCCCCCGCAATGCACAGATTATGGAGTCAGGAGCACCCAGATGCAACCCACATCTGAAAACACCCAACTCCTCTGGATTTCACTGCTCAGCTTACTCAGTAACATCTGAAACCTACCTCGTCCTACATTCAAACACCAGCTGACAAACTTCTGCAGCTTGGCTGCAGGCATTTCCTATGGAAACCACTGGTGGAGTGACAGTGAGCTGGCAGTGCACATAGAAGTATAACCATGATTGCCACCACAATTTTCAGCTGCAGATGTGAGTCACAGCCCACAGACTGCTGACCTTTCCGATAAATACAGCTTCAGGAGAACTTCTCCAGACTCTACTTCCTTTTCTTTTCCAATGCAAGAAGTATTTTTTCTTTAAGGGCATTTTCAAGAGCCATGTAATGCAGGTACGACCAGAGGAAGCCCTCATTGCAGGACAGGTGTGCCATGTAGCAGCACATTGCCATCCAGGTCAGAAAGCAATATGGGCTTTCTTGGTCTGGAAAGTGGGAGCCATTCCACTGAAGCAACCCCATCAGACAAAAGGCATAAACCCAAAAGTGATTATGGCTCTGACAACGCAAGCAGCTTCTTGCACCACTCAGCTCAGACGCCCACCCAACAGCCAATCCAAACCATTTTCCTTCGGGTACCCAAAGCCGACTTCTTTAAGGACTGAGAGAAAAACCACAGATTAGAAGCTTAGAAGTGTGCTATGCACAAAGCAAACAAACTTCATTCAGACAACAGTTATGCAGTCATTCCAGGCATGATTCCTCTGTTTTCCTGCCTTCTGGCACCACCTTCTCACCAAGGGCTGTGTACCTCTTCATATACAGACTCACTCCTATTCTCGCACTTAAGCCAAGCACATAGAAATGCTGAAAAATCTGGGCAGCATATCTCAGCTGAGACACCCAACCTGAAGCTGCACGGTCCTTCAAGCCAATGCAGCAAACACCAACACGTTACAGAATGTGCATGGCTGCTGGAGATGGGTGGAAAAACCAAGAGGTTGGCAGTGAGCAGCTGCAGCATCTCTCACTGCCTCCGCCAGCAGCTGCAAAGCGCTGGGAAATGCCGTTCTCCACAAGACACACAGTGCTCTGCTCTGCTTAAAACAAACAACCAAAGAGGCTTGCATTTATTTTTACTGGCCCGTGATTTTTGAACAGTGATCTGCATTGACACTGGCGCTGGTTTAATCCCCGTGGGATTTGAAGGTTTGAAAGGCAGGGTGGGACCTGACCGGAGGCAGCATGAAGGGGCAGAACATGTCTCTGCAGGGCCACGCAGGAATAAATCCTGCCCTGCTCCCACAGTTGCTGCTGTCAGAACCACCACAGCTGTCTCAGCACACCTCAGCCCTCCAAACCCTATTGAAAAGGTGGCCAGATTGTTATCAGTGTTTCCAAGTCTGAAGTAAGCATCTAAATTTATGCTAAACACTGTGCCTAACGAGTGCTGACCAAAAGCAGTTCAAAAGACACTTCATTTTACAACCAAGCTTCACTTCCTTGCTGCAGCTCCATGTATACGATCTGCAACTTACACGTGCCACCAAGCTCTACAATGTCTGCACTTCAAGATGGCAGAAAACCAAAGTACTGCAAATGGAAAATGTAATTACAGAAAGTTGATTAATATTCCTGGCTAACCATTCTAGCATCAGCATAAAGGCTTATTGTCTCTGGCTCTTTCATTGCCTCCAGAATAACATTTACCATCTCTCCATCTTTCGGAGAGGAGCCAAACACAGACCAGTTATTAGTCTGTATTAACTGTGCAAGCTCTTCTAGCTCCTCAGTTTAAAACCTCAGCCAAAAAATGACAGAGCTCTTATAACAGCTCATGCAGAAGAAACACTTGATATGAATTACAGCACGAAAACACCTCACCAACAAATGAGGGACTGTTTCTCCTACCTCTGTGCTTGCAGGGGAGAACACGGCACTCAGACACTGGGGCTGCCAAGGGCCATCCGTTGGGATGCTACAAATGGCTCCTTTAAGTGCCCAGGAGGTCTGAAATACCCTAAAGGGTGAAAGCTGGAAGAGCTGGAGCACACCAGGAGAGGCAACAGGGTACTGCAGACAGGTGGCAATGGGGAAACCCACCCCACAGCCACAGACAGCCTCCAAATCACCACCTGCAAAGGGAACAAAGTTCCCCTAGGGGTTATGGGGCTTAGGAAGCACAGCCCAAACAATTTTCTGTGCAATATTTCTGCACTACAAGGAAATCCCATCCCATTGCTGTGGTAAGGAAAATGTGACGGAGAAACCGCGAAGAGCCACGCGAAGGGTGGCACAACTGAGTCACTGCCCTGAGACATCTCTGCTCTGGTGCCACCTCTCAGCCACACGATGAACTTTGTACCTACAGAGTGCTGGGAGCAGTTCCAGTGCCAGCAGCAGTTCCAGTGCCAGCAGCACCTGTGCCAGGCTGGGAGAGGAGAGATGGCTGCTCTGAGGCATCAGAGCCAGCAGGGCAGGCTCAGTCCTGTCAAGCACCCAGCATGAGCAGAGGGAGATCTACATTCCCACTCAACCATGTCGCACAAGCCTGCATCCCACTGTTCCTGCGGATGATACTTATCTTCTGGCTCCCAAAATCCACGCCCACAAGAAAACAGGATCTACCAAAAGGACTGCGCAAGGCTGAGCTGGACAAAAGCCAAATTGTGTGCATTTTAAATTGAGGGAGGGAAGATTTAGGTTGGATGGCAAGGGGAAGTTCTTTACTATGAGTGTGGTGAAGTGCTGGAACAGGCTGCCCAGAGAGGTTGTGGATGCCCCGTCCCTGGAGGTGTTCAAGGCCAGATTGGATGGGGCCCTGGGCAGCCTGGTCTAGTATTAAATGGGGAGGTTGGTGGCCCTGCATGTGGCAGGGGGGTTGGAGATTCATGATCCTTGAGGTCCCTTCCAACCCTGGCCATTCTGTGACTCTGTGATTCTGTGTGTCAGAGGGGAAAAGGCAGCCGGGGCTGTCCCTGGAGAGCAGGGCAACTCAGCTGCACTGCCCAGGGGAGAGGACACTTGAAAGAAGCATTGGTTTTTATCCCCAACTCACAAAGGGATATGGAGCAACCCAACCAATTGCTCCAGGAGGATTTTGAGCAAGACTCTTGCAGTGAGAACAGCATGCAAACCTAGCTGTGCACTGCAGGGAGAGGGCTTGTCTCGTGTGGAATGGTGACAGCAAGGGAGCTGTCTTCATGCATAAAAGCACATAAAAACCTCTACTTCTCTATGCAATTTTCATGGTTTCTGCAAGAAAAATTTACTCATTCTTTCCAAGAAATCAGACACTGAAGCTGGATCCAAGAACACAGCTAAAAAAAACTTTCTCTCTTCTACTTTGCTTTAAAAACCCAGGAGGCAGTGGGACTCACCTTGCACACAGCAGCCTGCAAAATTGCATCAAAACCACCCTCTGGGGCATCCCTGTTCCGGGACACCTTCTGCTTCTGCACTTCTTCATTAAAACGGTCAACTTTGTCCGTCAGGGACAAGAGATGGCGGAAACCAAAGGAGGGGACGCAGCTTGGGAACAGCTTATATCTGCAAGAGGAGCAGAAGAGGAGCAGTTAGTTGGCATCAACCTCACCAGGAGCCACTAACTGCAGGAGCTCCCAGGTCTACCACACAGGCCTCCAAATCTTTGAGCCTTCCACAAGACTTCATGCTTTGGATGCTCTGATTTCTGGCTAGTTATCTGCAAACACACAGTAGAGCCTATCTCTATTTCCACCGTGCACTGGCTTTGAGCAGCTGAAGCTTGCAGAGATCTCATCTGGACTGAATGTCTCCATATAACATTCAAGTGGAGACAACAAGCACCAGGGCCATAAGGCTGTGGGATTTCAGTGCCTATAAGTCACAGCAGTTTCCACACTAGAGCCCACAGCACAGCAATGCAGTGGGCATGCACCTACTTAATCACTCATGCATCCTCCCACTCTCCCCGCAAGGCAGATGAGCAAACATTATCACTCCTACTTAGCTTGTAGCAGCAAGGAAGGAGCAGCACCCTAAGGTGGAGAAATGATGCAGTAGGCTGCCAGGAAATCTTGCAAAGCAGCCAGGAGGCAACAAACCTCATGGGTTTGGTGTTCTTAGGGTTGGTACTCATGGTGTGCTTGGGAGCCCTGAGCTGAGCAAGTCCTGCAGTCTGGGCAGGAGGTGAGCATGGGCAGGGGAGAGGGAGGAGAAAAGTTAAGAATAAAGTGTGTTTACAAAGGAGTTGCACTTGCAGTAGGTCACTCTTATCTTCAGAGATAGAAAGCAGAAAATGACTCACTATGGGTAGGGTCTAAGATGCTTTCTAACAAAGGAGCAGTTAAACTTTACCACTGCTGGTGGCTCTAATCCCTCCCATGCCAGACTCTGCATGCCACATGCATGTCTCCACTGTGCAAACCCACACATACCACAAACCACACACGGACCTAGCAGATCCAGCCTCCTGAGCACGGCAGCTGAGCTTTGGTGCAGCAGCAAACAAGGACTAAAGAGGAGAACTGTGTGCATCCCTGAGGCCATGCCAAATCTCAGGGGCAGGGAAAGATCTGTGTAGAGCACAGGACACAGTGCTGTGGTGTCAGTGAACAGCTCATGTAGAGCCCATGCCCAGCCAGGTTTGTCAGCCAGGTGGTTTCCATTACTGCAGCGTCCCAAAGCTAGGCATGCAAGCGATGCAGAATGGAAAATACTGCATAACCTGTATGCTCTGAACAAGAGGAAGTGTTTGAAGAAAAAGTGGCAGATGAAAGTACTCCTTCACTAGCCAGGGCTTTCATCTGGGCACTGTAGGACTCTATATGCTCCAAAACAAGCTTTGTACTTTCCTCTCTGACTTACCTACTTTCATCCCACTATAAACACGTGCAAGGGCACCAAAGTCAAGGAGTTCCAGATTTGTGGCTATGCTTCACAGCCAAAGCATGAGTTTTTAGTATTAAAATCACCATCCAATTGACCTTCCTCTCTGGATAGAACTGATGAAAAAAGTGCATGAATAATTTTGTCTGCTGAACAGGTGATGAGATGCCAAATATATGGTCAGTGCCAAAAGATGGCAAGAGACTTAGAGCTGATGAAAACTCTCTCTAATCTGCCTCTCATACAGAAAACTTAGAGCAAGCAGACTCATAAAGCTTGGCGCCTGTGATGTGATCTTACAGTCTAAGTATCTCCACATGCTTCATAAAAAAGGGCCAACTCTACTGCCCTTACAGCAGTAAAGAGCACCCCAAAAATGGATGAGGAGAAGAAGGGGCAGGACAAGGAGCATGAAGGGAAGTGTCAAAGGCAACATTCTCCAAAGAGGCAACTTCAGGTTGGATATTAGGAAAAATCACTCCTCATAAAGAGCGGTGATGCACTCGCACAGGCTGCCCAGGGAGATGATAGAGCCACCATCCCCAGAGATGTTCAGAAAAAGAGCAGATGGGCACTGGGTTAGTGGGCATGGTATGGATGGGTTGGAGTTGGACTTAGTGATCTTTGTGGTCTTTTCCAACCTTAATGATTCTATGACTCACTGCTGTATCCATCCTCACATGCCAACATCCAAATCCATCTGAGCCTGCACACCCTCCATGGCAGCCTATTTCACTCTGGCATAATCCTTGATTCAACAGACTAGATCCTCTGGCTGTTACAAGTCAAACAAAAAGACACTAAGAAAGCTACTAACAAGGAAAAAAAAAGGCTCTGATAACACTGCAAAGCAAACTGCATTATTTGTGTCTGTTGCAATTGCCAGTTTGCTTTCATTCCCTGGCAATAAAGATGAAGGAAACTGCCTGACATCTTCAGAATGCCTTACAAATACTCATTAATCAGTCTCACAGGCCCTTCCAAATCTCACTTCCCCCAAACACTTCTGTTGGGAAAGAATTGCACTGCTTTGGTCTCCTTATCTGTAAAGCAGAGAAGAAGAGTTTAATTGACCTACTCAAGGCCAAACTATGACTCAGAGCCAGGATCAGAAATCAGGAATTTCTGGCTCTTGCTCCCTTTTCTCAAAGCCTGTAAAAAAAAAAAAAAAAGCCTGCAATGTCTGCATCCTCTTCAGGTATTTAAAAATAGCTTTAGATTCCTGGCACAAGAGTTTCACATCTCTAGATGCAGAGTAACCCCAAAAGCTGCTGCAAAATTGGGAATTCCTTGATTTTGAATGGCTCAGGAGCATTACCACACAGTCCCATAAGTGTGATTTGGTGCCTAAAGCCAGAACTGCAAGAAAAGACTCTCCAGACACTGTTAGTGCCTGCACTGGGCTTCTCCCTTTGGGGAGCACCTACTTACCCAATGCAGGGATTGTTTTGGTATCTCGGTGCTGTGTAGGAGAAAGGAGAAATGTTTTTGTCCACAAAAGAGCCAAAGCCCAGCCGGAAATTGCTAGTGAGCTTCCGCATCTCTTCAGCCAGCTTTGTCCCCAGATTGCGAATATTGTCCAGGTCGTCGTTCATGGACAGGGAGAGATCCATCAGGTAGTACAGGTCCACGGGATAGTCCTCCACTTGCCGGACCTGAACTCGGAAGGAGGTCCTGTCACCTGCACACACACAAGAGTTGAGAGCAGTGAAAAGCACTGCAAGAAAACACCTAGCACACATCAAATCTAGACTGTGCTATTTTTGCTTTCACTGTGCAGAGCAGGCAGGTCTCTTGCAAACTAAGAGGGTTAAGGGGAACAAGTTTTTTCAAGTCTACTCCTCAGGAGACTAACAGGTAAGCAAGGAAGCCCTGTACAAGAAGGAAAGGAGGTGGAGCAGGAGAAGGAAGAGGGTCAGGAGGAAACATGAGTTGAAGGCAAGATGTCCTCTGGACTGTGCCTGGAAGGCAGGTTGAGGCAAACACAGAAGGAACATCTTTCAGAAGGACCTCTCCCCAGGAAAAGAGTCGTGTCACTATCACTCTGGAGAAAGCAGGGCAAAAAGGGAAGTGAAATAGGAAAAAAGGGATGTTGCAGTCAAATGGGGAAGTACCAAAGCGGAGATGAAGCTTTCATCCAAAGTGATGAACAGAAGGGAGGGAACTGACAGGACTGAGTCAGGATGAGAAGACATGAAAAAGAGCTGAAGTAAGCCTCTACCCTGACCTGCCCTTCTGCAAAGCTCTTCTGGTCAAGATGGTGTCCAGAATAGGAGTCCATGTGCTGAAAAAGGTGTGCTGGCAAAAATATGAGCTCAACTTCAAGCCAGAAGGGACACGGCCAATGTCTGCCTTACACTTTGCCAATAGCTGAGAGAAGGGACAAACTGAAACCCCCAGTACTCTCCAGCTAAAAATCCCGTATCTCCTGCTGGCTCTGCAGCCCCTTTTCCAGCTTGCTGAGCCCTCAGGGGCTAAAGCCATCTCAAGACCAAAGCACCCCTTCTGTTCTACCTCTCCCTTCACAGCCCAGGCTGAACTTTCAGGCACCAGCAGGTTCCGCAGCACTCTTTGCTTCCTCCCACTTCAGAAATGAAAAGCACATTTTTTATTATCATGAAAACATTTCCCTAAAAGTTTTATTGTTTTCCTCATTGTTTGCAGCAGCACAGCTGCTCCCACTTATTTCCAGCTCACGAGCAGGCAACAGCATCATCCCCAGTGCTCTGCAGCATCCCCAGCACTCTGCAGCCCCACATGGTGCCAGATCCTGCTCCCCTGGGCCCCATGCCACCCCCACCCCGAGATGCATTTTTTTCCACTTAACCCATTGAGAAAAAAGGAAATGTGCCTTTGGCACACAGTACCCCAGACACCCCAGTTTCAAAAATACTCTTCTTCCAGAGTAGGTCCTAAGATGGAAATTACCATGCTGGAAAGAGTTGTTGGGATGCTCCACTGAACCCTTCTTGATGGTAATGAATGTATTAGTCCATGAAAAAACAGCAATAACAGCAGGATCCCAGAGCTGCTGCTTCTTTCATTCCTAACTGCACAAATTAATTATCTCACAGAAAATACTGCTAATGTATGGCGATATCAGTACAAAAGAATTTATTATTCACTGTGTACAGTACTAGTCTGACTCTTTAGGGATAACCCAGCCCCTTCCTTCCCCCCCTACCACCAGCACCATCCTCTCCTTAGGGTTTTTATTGAGAAGCATTAAAGTCAAAACTGCATTCAGAAATGTTTCCTGGATACTGTCACATAGAAGCAGCACAAAAACTGGAAAAGCTGCTTTTGGCCAATTTAAGAATGCAAATTCATCAACCACGATTATCCACAAAACCCTCTTCTGCTTGCTGATTTAATGGACAACACAACATGAATCTATTCATTGCTTTAAATTCCTTTTACAATATTCATACTTTTCATACAAGAACACTGTCCTATAGCCGAACCCAGAGTTAACAAGCAACATCATAAAAACTAAACGCTTGATCCAAAAGTTGCCCTGGGAAGACATCACTGTAAGTCCTTCAAGAATCAATTCGGAGCACAGAGATTTGGGGATGTGGTTTCTGCTGCAGGATGCTCAGATCTCAAAGCCTGGGTGGGACCAGCAAACAATTGACAATTCGCCCCGTTCTGCTTCTGCTTAGCGGTCTGAGAATAGAAGAGCACAATCACCACGCCTGCTGTGTCAATTGGTCTTTGAAATCCTACACTCTGGGCACAAAAAAAAATAATTCCCATTGGAGAGCAAAATTGGTATTATGCACAATATGCACAAAATTAAATCAATATTGTCTTCTTTTTGTCTTGGGTGCTGCCCTCAGGATTCTCTCTCAAGCTCAAGTACAAATGGATGATTTAAATCGGGGATGCAAAGCCCAGCTTTTGGGAAGTCATCAGCCCTGAGTAAGATGGTGTGCTGCTCTGCATCAAAAACAAAAAAGAAAAGTAGTACAAATGGGAGATATTATGAAAAACATGTAGACATATTTCTCCTCCTGTAGTGACCTGGGGGATTTGAGGGCAGACACAGGAGCAGTTGCAAAGGCGAGACAGCAGAAAGCTGCTGGCAAGACTCCTGCCCCTCCTTGGCTCCTGCGTTTGTTGGTATTCAGGAGAAGCAGTATAGCCTCACCTATTTCTGCAGGCCTTTGCTGTTTGCCCATAGGAGCTGTGGATGCCCTATCCTTGTTTATCCTTGTACACCTGGAGGTGCTCAAGGCCAGGTGGGATATGCTCTGGGCAGCCTGATCTGGAGGGTGGCAGCCTTTAAGGTCTCTTCCAACCTAAGCCTCTCTATGACTCTGTGATTTGTCCAGCAGACCTCAAGCTATGGCAATCCACAGCATCCAGGTGAAGCAAGAGCAGTGCAGCACCCTAGAGGGGTTATCAGCTCCACTTTCCATCCTCCTCCCATATAGGAACTTGGCAGTGCAGCCTGGCTCCCTGCGAGGCCCAGCAGGAACAGCAGCTCCAGCATCCAGCAGCACAGCCCCAGGAAAGCCACAGGGGGACGGACCCCACATCCCACCTCACTGCTGGAGCCATGGGCATCCCAACAGCTGGGGGCAGGGAAAGGAAAGCGCTGAGCACCAGGCATCATGCCTGCAAGATGGCAATGCTGAGCCTGCCCTTTTCCACAGCAAGTGCCTCGAGGAACAGAGTAATAACAGTAATAACAACTCCCTTTGGACGGGAGCAAACCTGTTGCATTAGCAGCATCAAATTGCAGAAGCAGAGCCACACCGGAGACACCGTCAGGCCTGGTAGCTCCTGAAAGAGCTCTGGTGTGGGGAGCACCAACTCACACTGCTGTTTTTCTTGGGCAAAACATCCTATCTCATTTTTCTGTATGCTCATGAGAGCTGTCACAGAAACATAAGCCCTAGAAACCCACACCAATTGCTTATAATGAATCACGCTTTTATACTTGCTTCTTAACTTTGTCATAAAGAGCTTTTTTCCCCCTTCAGAAACATTGGCTGCCAAATGTTTGCTAGAATTCTGAACCCACATTAAAGCCTTCCCCCATCATGCAAAAACTTTTGATAACAAGCATGCTCGCGTAGCTCCATCTAGCCTTTCACTCTTAATTTTCAATTAGAATGAAAAGACTTAAGGAAAGTGATGGCTCAGGGGAATGAAACAAGGATGTGGATATGATCCAAGCTCTGAGTCACAAGTTCAAATCTTCATCTCAGGCCTTGATCCCATGGCTCTTTTGCATACCAACAAAAAACAGATACGCTTTTTAAAAAAAATTTACATAAGGAGCTGTCTCAGTTTAGAGTCAAGGCACTGTCAGGCTTCAGGATCCAAAGTTTCTTTAACTCCTTCCATCCAAAGACTGCATTTTTAAGCTGGGCATGTTCCTTTTAAATGCACACAAGGGTTAGGTGATAGCTTTACGTCGGATCTGATTGACCTCTCACTGTCCTCACTCATAGAAAACCTCAGCCCCAGTTCTGTTTGGAGCGTATCACTGAAGCTGATGGGCTCTGCTGGCCAGCAGCCAGCACCTTCAGTGAGCACAAGGACACGGGTACAGCCATCCCTCTGCCTGCTCAGGCTGGACCAGGCTCTAAGCACCCTGATCTAGCAGCAGGTGTCCCTTCTCATGGCAGGGCAGGTGGACAAGATGACTTTAAGGCCTCATCCAATTCAAAAGACTCTATGATTCTACATCCAGCTCCACTTCTCGCCCACCCACATTCCACCATGGAGCTGGGAGCTGCTGGGACTCACCAGGACGAAGACTCAGGGCGACCTTCTGTGGGGTGATCTGTGTGACATCCAGGTGGCTCTGCCCAGAGCCCTTGCTGCTTAAGGGGATGTTCTTCATCACGCTGCTGCTGCTGCGTGGGTTCTCGATGGCGCCGGCACAACCATTGGCAATGAGGTTCTGCAGGAAGTCACAGCGCGATGGGACAGACTTCGTGCTGCCAAACTCCTGGGAGGTGAAGAACAGATAGATTGGAAGGGGAAGGAGAAGACCAGAAGGTGAATTTTTCCATGTGTGCACGAGCTTGGAGGAGCTTGACAAAAGAGAGGACGCAGAATTGTTGCCAAGAGAAGCCAGAGGGCTATGTGTAAGCTGGAGAATGAGGCAGAGGGCTCCGGGGACATATGTCCCCTCTTGCCTGGGTGAGACCACACATCCCAGAACCAGCATGATGGTACCCCTACCTCAAACCACTGCAAAGACGGCCCTGGACTATCGCACAGAAAAAATGCCATTGCAGCAAGAGTTCTGCAGGCTGGAGCACAGATGGAGTGCTCTGACGTGGGCAGGCTGTCTAGGGAAGCTCTGCTGGAGAATAAGGGACTTGGATGAGGGCTGATGGGAGGTGTTAGATCGAATCAGCTGCAGGCTGGACAAGAAACCAGCAGGAGCAGACTGGAGAGGCAGCTGACACAGAGCTCCCCACAGCACACAGTATCATGGAAGGGACCCTTAAAGGTCATCTGGTCCAACTTTCCCTGCAATGAACAGGGACATCTCCCCCCGTGCCTCCCCCAGCCCTCCTGCAGCCCCTGGCCGGCCCCCATCATGGCACACAACGGGGCATTGTGTGTGGCAGGCACTCAGGAACAGCCTGGCCTCACAATGCAGCCTTTGGCAGCCAGCACGTCCTATTTGTTAGCGCGCTGGTTTTAGTTTTATTTTTGAAAAGGCTAAAAGCAGCAAGTTGCCCAAAGCTTGCTGAATTTTCAACATCACATTTCTGCTCATTTCTGTACTATAACAATAGACAGAACCATCTTCTGCTTGGGAGCTAAGCAGATACTAAAATCACACAAAATAATGCAAAGAAGATGCTCACAGCCCCCTCCTTCAATTACACAGCCAAAAAAGCAGAGCAGGGTTGGATAAATCCCACTTTCTGTCAATGCTGGAGAGCAGCAAGCGACAGGGGAAACATCAAGGAGGCAGAGGTTGTCTGACTGATGTCAAACACAGCTCGGGAGTGTCCCCAAGGACAACTTCAGGTCCTGGGACACAAACAGAGCATTTCCTCTGCGTTTCCACACTACGAGGCCTGAACACTATTTGAAAAATGCAAGGTTTGCATTCCATCACGGAGCAGCAATACCAAGCCTAAGCGATGGCACATCAGATGGATGTGAACATGAATTTCTTGGAACGCACCGTGTAAACAGATGGACTGAGAGAGAGGAGGACTGGGACAGTGTAAATCATCTCCAGCATGACAAAATAGAGAGCAGACTACCTCCCAGCCAAGAACAACGCCCAGCAAAGCAGTAGGTTTAGGGCAGCCATGGGGAAGAGCTAATCTCAGGCATGATAGTCCTTAAAGGAGTTGGACTCAATGACTCTTACAGGTCCCTTCCAACTTGGGATATTCTATGATTAAATCAGTGAGAAGCCAGTATTTGTCAAGCACTTCCAGTCACCCCTGAGGCCTGCTCCAAAACCTTTTGATGTTCATGGAGCGGCCTGACTTCAAAGGGCTCTGAACTGGGACCTGATTTTCTGGCTGGGATGTGGTAGCACGATGCAGCCTTGGAGAGGGAGGAGGATGCTTCCTCAACATCTATCAGCCCTTAGTAGCACATCCTGCAGCACCAGGAAAAAGTCTCTGAGTGTGTGTTTACAGCAATTTTCAGTTCCCAGCTCTGACTGTCCCACCAAGCCAAGCCATCAGCAACACAGGGGACATGGCTCTCATGGGCTTCCACTTCCTCAAGGCTACTTCAGCCACCTCAGCCCACATTTTGGGCAGGAGATGCTCCTCTTTAGGAGAAAGTTGAAAGGGAGAATCCAGCTCTCGAGGAGATGTGGAACACCATTTGACAGTAACTGCAACTCACTTCAGCAGCACCTCTGCACTTCTGCAGCTCCCTATCTCTGCTGCTCCTAACCCATTTTCTGCTTAGATTTCTTCTAAAACTGGCCGCAGGGAATTACCACAGGATGACAATTGCCGAGCTGCTCTGGCTCGTGCTGCAGAATGGCATCTGCTCAGAGATCGCACCCTGCAGCTCTTGGTATTGGCTCACACTGCTTGCTGGGCCCGTGCACCAATAAGCAAGCAAAAAGCGATGCATGCAAGCAGATACGAGTTAATGGAGATTAGGCCAACAGCGTGACAATTACATGCTCATCAGCTTGGAAGTTTTAAGACAAATTGCTTGGCTCATGCAAGAACAGCATTGGCTATACATAACTCTGACTTCACATGTCCCAAGCTATTCCCTACGGTTTTTGCTTTAATCAATTCAATCCTGCATTAATTCAGCAGAACCTATCCTTTCTTTCTTCACTTAGAAAGCTGACATGTTCCCTCCAGGAGATCCCTTGATTTTCCTTCCTCATCCTCCAGGCACAAACTCCTGCAATCACAAAGCATGGGGTACATGCACATCACTGGAAAACACGGGAGAATTCAATTCACCAAGGAGGAAATTTCAGTTTAATCAATAAGATTTATTAGCATCCCTGGTTTGAGTGCACACACGCAAATACACCTGCATACATAACCCACAGGTGGATGTACATCCACACAATGTACACACACGCCAGGTATTTTCCCCTGCCAGCCCTCTCACAAGGCACACCCAGGAGACGTCCAGCTACGTTTTACACCTCCTCTTTCAAGTGTAATTTAAATAGATGATCCTATTTCAGCTCTGCCTTTCGTAGGCATCACATTATAAACCAATGCAGTGTTAGAACAAGAGCTCACTAAGTTCCAGCTCGCAGCCTGTAACGGGACGGCAGCTTTTTAACATGTGGCTCTTGGCCAGAAATACCTGGAAGTGCATTTTTAAATAGCTGCTCCAGGCTAAAGGTCAGGAAGGATTACGGAACTTCCTTGTAAACACTTCTCTTCCCTCCCCCGGCCCCTCCACTCCATTTGGAAACTATTTTGTTTGGGAACTCTTCCGTTTGCAAGATAAAGAGTCAAGCTGCCAATGCCACAGGCTGACGTACAATTAGTGGTCGTAGTGACCACCAGATCAACATTTCCACTGGCTGCATTTGTAAAACTTCTCTTTTGATGCCAAGAATTGAATATATATATATATTTAAAGGCAAATTATTGGGTACCCATAAGTGATAGCCAGCGCTCCTGGATGCAATATCACACTGCAGATTAGCTGCCTGGAACAGGAACTCCTACAGCTGTTTACAAGATGTCTCAAAAGCAAGATCTACTGCTTTACCCTTTCCCTTTCCCTTCTATACATCACTCATCCTCCTGGAAAAAAAAAAAAAAAAGCACAGGAGCTATTCTGCTGTCAGGTAATGATACTATAACATATAAAGATGCTTTCCTTGGAGAGCTGCAGCTGTGCAGCAGTCAGGCAGTTGGACACAATGATCTTTGTAGGTCTCTTCCAATTGAACCACTCTATTTAACAGGGGAGATGATTTCAGACTGTAAGATACCCAAAACATAAGGATGCATTTTTGTTGCAAAGCATGCTGGTAAGCTGCACAGCTCATTGCCATCGGTGCAGACACCAGAAGCACTGGCAGTCTCTTGAAACAACACAGCAGACTCAGAGGGAATTTACCTTTGTTGGAGGCCATGCAGCACGTACTGGGATGGCAGCCAGAGCAGAGTGCTTTCCAGCAAGGCTCCCTGCAGCTGAGCCCATGCAGTGACAGTGCCCCATGCAGAGGGGGAGGCAGCTGAAGGAGCAGAAGAAGGAACTTACCTCTTTGGAGCACCAAGCACATTTGGGATGGATGAGGAGACACTCTTCACAGGATGAGGCGCTTCCACTTGTGCACAGGTTGAGACCTTCAACAAGAAAGGACAGAGAATGGGGTGGGCTGAGCTAAATACACTGCAAGTTTGGTGTCATGAGCAGAGAACCTCCCACACTAAAAGGCTGGAAGAGAATAAATCTCACCTCCTATCCTGTATGGAGGTCTTGGTTTATTCGTTCCCCAAGAAATATTTAAAAAGGACAGAAATTGGTTTTGGGGGAGCTGAGAACCACTGCAATATGATTCTGGTGATTACTCTTCCCTCTTTTTCAATGATGTCTGGTAAATCAAAGAAGGAAATAACATGCTGACAATGCAGTAGCTGTGCCATTGGCCCAAAGGTGGCTGTCCCCAAACCCCTGAGATGCTGACTTTAAAGTCACACTAGGCACACCCAGCCCCCTCCCAGCATTTCCATCTTAATGCAGCCCTAGAAGATATCCACTTCCCCACTGATGATTCCCACAGCTGACTGCTGTCACAACAAATTGCTTTAATTTATGACAGGATTCACTTCCCCGAGATACCCAGGCTGGACTGTCCAATGACCGTACACAGCAGGGCTCTGTGCTGCCAACCAGGGACACTGCTTTCTGCTCTGGGTACACAGCTATTCCCATCTGCAAACATCCAGGATCTGGGCTGGGAGAGGATTTCAAAATAAAGCAGAATGGTGCAAGTTAAACCCAATGTCAATGGGCACAGGGCTCTGAATGCAGCAGCTTGTTTAACCAAGCCTGGAGCCAGGAATGTGCCCTTCAATGGCACTGATGCCCCAGCTGCCCGGGGTTCCACTCTTAACATCCACTGTCAATACATAATTAAACTAATTTTCAGCCCAGGGGCTGCAGACTTTCAACGAAATGCCTTGGGCGTGAACAGGGAGCCTGCTATTCTTTTCTCTCCCGGATGTCAATAAGAGCACTGTCCGGCCTCTATTTTAGGAGGGCTGCAAGTACTGCAGGATGCCACGTGCAGACAGTGCGGACTCACTGATGGCTGCAGAACCACGCAGGTTTTTGTCCTGGGGCAAGGATCTGCCCAAGCATGGAGCAGAAGGACAGGCATTGCTGTCCCTGCTCCAAAGCCAGTGCATGACCCAGCCCTGCACTGAGGCTGGCTGTGCCCTGCCAGGTGGTTCAGCCCAGCGCGGGCTGCGGAGCTGTGCTGGCTGTATGGCTTTCATTCAGGCAGGCTGCTGGCTTTCCTGTGGGCTGAACAAGGGGCTTATTAATTTTTTTCTTGCTGACCGTTAGCGAATACCCATGCGTCTCATTCCTTGTTCACACTGAGTTGTGTTTCAGCTCCTGGGCACTGTGAGAGTTCTAAGTATAAAGATGTAATAGAAAGCAAAACGTGGCTTGTTCAGCAGTTACGGCATGCAGGGAGATTAACACTCACACTTCCGAGCCCTACAGCTGCAATGGCTTCCAGCACAGACCAAAGCTTTTCCAAATCCCCTCTCTGAAGCCAATCCTTGCACTCCAGCTACCCAGCAGGCTTCACTGCCCATCTGTCTGGAAATAGGACAGCATTTACCTCTGTTCCTGACTGACGGATTTCAGAATGTTTACTTGGCCACAGTGATGTCTGAATGAAAACTGAGGTCTCCTCCAGTCCATTGGGTGCCACAGCCAAAGGCCATCTGTGGTGCAGCACTCCATGGGACATTCCTCCCAGGGGCATTTATTGGGGATCTTTTCCCCACTTTGGAGCAAAACCAAAACATCTCCAGCACTGTTGTGAAAATTCAGCTTTATTAAGCTGCTGTACTGGGGCTGCAAGCTGAGTTTTCTGAGCTGGAGCACAGATGCAGCGCTTTCACAGTGATGACCTTTGCTGCGCTCAGTTCAGTGCAGATTTTTATGCTGGATCACTCTGAACCAGGCAAAGGAAGGACCTGGAGATGCCTGTGCTTGTCCACCAGGCAAGGAGAAGAAACTCAGCCCCCTCCACCCAGTCAACAAAACCACTCCTTTCCGCTAAACTTGATGCAGTGCAAAAAAATTCCACCCAGGATTTAGCTGGGATTACTCTGGAGGATGACAATCCACTCCCTGTACTGCCAAGCTGCACACATCTGCCCTGATGCCACAGCTCCCAAACCCCAATTGCATTGTGAGAAGGACCCAGCAGGCTCAGACAGCATCTCTGTGCCCATCCTGCTATCGGACAGAGTCAGAGGAGCCCCAGTGAGCTGGGGAAGGCAGCACATCCCAGTGGGCTGTTGAGATTTTAATACAGAACGCCAATGATGCAGAGCAAGATGGGAATCCCTCACGAAATGTACACCAGTTTTACTCGTGAAGATGCTCCAGGCAATCAGACCGCATTTTAAACCTGTTTTGCAAGAAAACCCCGTCCGGGCAGCTCCTCAAACTGCGGGATGAATGCAGTGGCTTGCTGGGGAGGAGAAAAGCGAAACGTTCTATGCTTCACCCAGCTATGTACGAGAAAAGAATCGCTTTACTTATGCTGGGGATGCCCCATCCCTGGAAGTGCCCGGGGCCAGGCTGGACGGAATCAGGTCCAACTCAACCCGTTCCGCGGTGCCCCGATGCGATTCCAGGGGCACAATGGGACTTTGAGGAGCTCGGGATCCCGCGGAGGACCGGCGCCAGCAGCAGCACCGGGAGGGGCTCTCATGGAGATCGCCGCACGGGGATGCGGCACAGCCCCGCCGCAGGGGCACGCACCGGGCAGACGTGGAAGCGGGGTTGATGAAGCCGGCCGAAGGAGGGGAACGCAAAGCAAAGCAAAGCAAAGCAAAGCAAAAGAAAGTTAACTCCTTGTCCCAACGCGCGGCGGCGGCTCGGGGGCCCTTACCTCTGCCGGGCTGCAGCGGGGCGGCCAGGAGGAGGAGGCGGAGGAGGAGGCGGAGGAGCGGGGGGGGCCGGCGGGCGGCGGCGGGGGCCGGCAGCCCCCCTCGGCGGGGCATGGTGCGGGCGGCCGGGGCTGCCCTTCCCGCCGGGCCTCCCTCCCTCCCCGCCGCCTTTTGTGCGGCCGCGGCGGCGGCGGCGGCGGCGGAGGAGGAGGAGGAGGCGGGGGGGGCGGCGCTGGGGCTGCCCGGGGCGGGCGGCGAGTTGCGGCCGGGGTCCGCCCGCCGCTGGTGCCGCCGCTCGGGTGCGCTCGGGCCGGGGTACGGAGCCGGGAGGCGGAGCCCGGAGCCGGGGAACGGAGCGGGACCGCGGGGAATCGCACGGGCTGGTGTGCGTGGTTGTGCAAGGGGCCGCGCTGGTGTAAGTGTGTACGTGCGTGCTCGCATGTGCGTGCACACGTGCGCGTGTCGCGCATGCACGTGCAGACATCCACGTGCAAATGTATACACGCGTGCGTGTACGCTCGGGTTGATGCATGCACACCTCCGTGCGGAGCTCGCAGAGACGCATGCACGCACGCAGAGGCACATGCATGTAGTGGGTGGCAGCTTTGTGCACAGCTGGAAGCAGATGGCCTTTAAGGTCCCTTCCAACTCAAGTCGTTCTGTGATTCACGCTGTCACACCCGGACACAGCCACGTGCACACACACATATGCACACATGCATCTGTAGCACGGGCACACCGATCTCTGCGCCTGCTTGCTGCCGGGCTGGCACTCATTCTCTCCAGTTCGCTGCCCCCTGTTACGTAGCATTTTCCTGCCTCAGGGATTTTTGCCACACAAACAGCGCCCATCTGGCGAAGGGCTCTGAGCCGGGCTGTGCCCGCCCTCCAGCTCTGGGTCTGTCCCCAGCTCGATCGACACTTCAGATCTAAGGGGAACGGAGGATTTATGGCAGCGTTTGGACTGCTGGCAGGCTCTGCTCCTGCTTTTAAAACAAATCATAAATCAGCTGTCAAGCCGATGGCTGATTCCAAAGGTAGTTAATAGCAACAGCTACTACCCGTGGCCTGCAGACCTTCATGCCAATTGAACAGCATATCTACTGTATCTTACCTTTAGGTTTGATCGACACACAACCTCAGTCCCCAGGCCTTCATATGCTCTTCTGGTTTCTTCAGCACCTCCAGACTGCTGCACCACACCAGGTTTGGATTTCACCAAAGCTGTCCTGGGGCAGTAACTCCTGATGTGGCTGCAGAGTTCCTCTGATGCACACAGAGCAGCATTTCCCACTGCATATCCTCCATCCCTGGATAGAGACAACCTTTCTGTAAACACGCAGATGTACATATGGTTGCAAATATATATGGATGGCGTGAGAGAGCTGCATTCATCTCATTCTCAAGAGTGAGGATCCCTCATCCCTTGCCTACCTTGATACCCTTCTCCAAAGCCAGTACTGCACTTCCACCCTCACGTGCAGAGCAAGAGGTGTTGTAGCTGCTCTGAAGGGCCTCTGTGAGCAGAACCGTGTGAGGTCTTCGTCTTCCTGTTGGGCTTCCAAGGTATATTAACAAGGTTATCAAGGACAAAGACATTATACAAAGAAGGCCAGGTTGGATGGGGCCCTGGGCAGCCTAATTTAGGGCCTTATCTGGTGGTTGGCAACCTTGTCCTGCAGCAGGGGGTTGGAACTACATGGTCTTTGAGGTCCCTTCCAACCCACATCATTTTGTGATTCTACAATTTTGGGGTGGGAACCCAAAGCAGGGCTTCATCACCTTTAATCTTCAGACACAGCCCATGTCTTTTCTCCCCTGCTTACAACGTGCCAATTCAATTGAGGGATTACTCAATCCAGGGGACTGAGACCTCTCTACTTCCTTCAAGAATTTAGGGGCCACGGAGTCCCATGAGCATGGTTTGTATCATCGCCCAGTTCTGCTGGATGGGAGACAGGAAACAGCTGGTTAGAAAGCCCTGATCTTTGTGCTTGCTTTCTTATTGCCTGCATTTTAAAGTGTGGTGCAAGTAGGATGCAATCCAGTGTATCTTACAAGTGAGATAATTACAAGTCAGTTCTTTGGTTCTGCAGTTATCAGGCAAAACAAATAAAGTGGTTTATCAATGATACTTTGGGTGTATTCATTGTCATATCTCCCTCATGGCAGGAAGGGTGGATAAAAGCATCTGATTCATGTCTAGATAACCCCATGTCATTGAAGACATTGTAGGTTACCAAAGCCAACCCCTCTTTTTGCACCTATCCAAGCAGAATGATTGTCCCCATAGGTAGGACCTGATCATGCTATGGAGGTGGGAGTGCAGACAAATACTGTGGGCTTTGCCTTCCCAACAGGGCTTCCCTGCAGCAATGGAAAAGGGTCGTCTCCTGCTTTTTGCATGGAGCCTACAACAAATTCCAGTTCATACAACATCCATGTCAGATGACAGCAACAGGCAACAATCACATGCAAAAAAAAAAAAAAAAAAAGACCAAAAAAAAGAGACCATCATGAATTTTGTTCTTTCTTAAACAGCATGTTCTCCTACAGCTAATGATGCTGCTCATGCTGCTACTTCCTTTAAATACGTATATATTTACCATCTGAGGACCAGCCTCAGTCTTCTGCTACTGAAGAGCAACACCAGCACTCCCTGCTGCCGAGAGGAAACATTGCAGAAGTGCAGGGCAGCAGAGGAGGGCACCTGAAAACTCGTTTTCGAGTTTTGTCCCTCTCCTGCATATAAATAAAGAAAAAATAAAAAGGTTCAGAATAAAATCTCTGTGCCTCAAACCATCCCTTGTTGGGTATCCCACATGGTGTACACCATGAGTTTGCATGGCAACAAGTGAGGGCTGCCAGCTGGTGCTTGAGCTGCAATGACTTCAATGCCTGTTTTCCTTCTCTTAACTCCTTCTCTAAACCATATTTTGGCATCCTTGGTATATCTGGGGCAGCCAACAAGCAAGCCCCTCCTCTAGTTGCTGGGTGATAAACTGACCGCTTCACCTCCCATTTGTCAGTCTTGTGCCACCCAGGAGCACAATAAATCCTGGACACATATCCCTTCCTCATGGGAAAACTCAACTGGGGCACCTTATGTCTTCACATTCTTACACTCCATAGGCAAGCCTGGAGCTGCTGGGCTGGGGAATGAGGGAGATATTTGGGGGAGATCATTCTCACACCCTTAGAAGAGCAAGATGCCCCAGAAGAGCCAAGTGCATTAACATGAGTCCTTCAAACAGTACCAGTGGATCCAACTTTTGATGTAATACACGCAACTTCAGGAGAAGATGGGCAGGCTGGGGGGCATCTGGCTGCTTGAATAGCTTTTTATGGAGGGGTTACTGAAGTACTGATCTGTTGGGTGATAGAGGTCTCTGTGGCCACCTTAAGAAATATGTCCCCATCCCTGAGGTTAAGGAGCTCATCAAAGGAATGGGCATCCAGGTCCCTAAGGCTGGGGTGCAGGAGAGGGTTAAAATCAGCAGCATGCTGTGCCTGTTAATGGTTAGCACCAGCTCACACAGCTCATTAAAAGGTCTTGCATTTCTTGCGGCCTTTCCAGCAACTGTGAAGAGCCAGCACCATCTTGTGGCGAGGACTCCACTAAGCTGCAGTGAGCAAAGCAACAGCCTGGAGGCTTGTCAATCCTTGCTGCCTTGCCTGGGATGTTAAAATATATCCCTAGTTTGGTTAATCAGGCCCGAAAAAGGGCCTCTGTAGACTGCAGATTTTGGAGGAAGTCCTTATTCCAAAGTCTTGCTTATGCAAGAGATTTTTTTTTTTCCCACCTACATCTGGTTATGCATGACTAAAGCATAAGCTGAAGTTCCCTAATGTTTAACCAGGTGGTGTCAGATGGCACAGGGCAAGTGGCAGTGACTCCCAGCAAGAGCCTGGGGGACAGGGAGGCAGAGCACCTTCCTCAAGCAATGGCGAGACTGAGAAATCTGCTGAGATAAATGTCCTTCCAGGTGTCAACAGGTATTGATGTTTCAGATCATAAAAGCATAGAATCATTAAGGTTGGAAAGACCAATTTGATCATCCAGTCTAACCATCAGCTCATGCCTGTTCCCACTCTAGACCACATCCCTCAGTGCCACATCTCCACGGCTCCTGAACACCTCCAGGAAAGGTTCCTCCCCCACCCCTCTGGTGCAGCCTTTACCACTGCATCACCATTCTTTCTGAGAAGTTTTCTTGATATGCAACCTGAACCTCTCCTGGCACAACTGAAGGCCACCACCTCTTGTCCTATCAGACAGAGAGTGGAGAAAAATCTCTTTTTCCCTGGCAAATCCCCCCCGCATTGAATGGGTGCCATGGAGACAGTGCCCAGGGCCTGGGGACTTGCTCCTCTTTTTTTTTCTTTTTTTTTTTTTCTGCCTACTTTGATCATATCTCCTGTAGCTTTGAGTACTCCTTCTGGTAGCTGTTTGGCTGCTGTCCATGTCAGTGCTGTCAGAACCTGTCACCGATGGCTCAGAATTGGGTGCAATGTCCCCAGGCTGCTGGCTGCACCCTTCCTTTGCATCCCTTGAGACCATGACACTGGGTATGGGTCACTTATTAACAATCACAATGTCTGTTTGATCTTATTTCTCCCATTACTTATTTACTCCTGTGACTTTCCTTTACTCCTGCTGGGCCGGCTCATCCAGCAAACCCACTGCAAAGGCTGTGGGAAGCCTTTTTCCCACTGATGTGGGAAGCTCCCAGTGTCTCTAGCAGCAAAAAGAGAACCATAGAATATCCCAAGTTGGAAGGGATCTATAAAAAAGAATATCAAGCTCAACTCCATACAGGACCACCCAAAATTCAAACCCTGTGTCTGAGACTGGTGTCCAGATGCTCTTTGAACACCAGCAATTTGGGCCATGCCCACTGCCCTGGGGAGCTGTTCCATGCCCACCTCCCTCTGATGCAAAACCTCTCTCCAGAGCAATATTTTACCAGCAGTTGGAGCATCCTTCGCAAGGCACTTGATGAATTCTTTTTTCAGCCTTGTGTCTGGTGCTTGCAAATGAAGCAGCTTTGCCCAAGGGCCCAAGAAGAATTAATTGACTTCATCCAGGATTGAGGAGCATAAACTGAACATAC